CGCACAAGGCCCGATGGGGAATTCCGTGCGAAGCCCGAGTGGGGCGGACGCTGCGAATGGTGGAAACCGCGGGGGGTGCCAATCAACGCGCCATCGAGCGAGGACCCGATTGACAGCTCACTCGCAGACGCCAGGCTTATGTGGGGTTCTGTTTGGACGCCCCAACTTGGTACGGAGGAAATTGTTCCGATGCCCACTTGCAGTCCAACATCGACAGCGCCCGCTGTTTGGCAAACGGTTCTTTGTTTTCGATGGACAACGTCCGCGGCGACACCGACAACGAATCCTGTTCAAAATGGGCACGGGAACAGTCGGTCATCGTACCCATCCTTCCCGTACCCTTTTCAATCTTGCCGAGTGAGGGCGCCCCCCCCGAGTCGCTCGACCTCGTGGCTCAGCAGGCCCGGCGCTCGCTGGGAAACGCTGGCGCGCCGGGCGTTTCCAGCGTGCCGAGAGGCCCGCGCCGCGCGGGCGCGCCCGCCACGGGCCGGCCGCTGCCTGCGCGCAGGCCCCCGCCGGCGGAGTCCTGAGGCTGCCGCCCATCGGCTCGTCGCTGTGCCTCTGCGTTCGCCGCCCCTTTAATCCAGGCCTCCCGACTCGGGTCGCGGTGGGCGGGGTCGGCGGGTCGACCCGCATCGCCGATGCTTCGGCGATGGAGGGCGATGCGGAGCCTGATGTTCTCCACGCCGACGTCGCCGATGCGTCGCCGAGGTGCCGTCGATGCGGCGCGACCCCCCGACACCATTTACTCGGGCCCAAGGAAGGCCCGCCGGTCGGCGCGGAGCGCCGAGGTGGGACCTGAGAGGGGGGCAGGCCTTCTCAGGGTGCGGCGGGCCTTCCAGAAATCTTCCGGCCCTCGGAGAAGCCCTCTGCGGCTTCGGAGGGGGCGTGGAGCTTCTCATAAGGCCTGACGCCCTCTGAGTCTGAGCGTTCTGCGAAGGCCCGCCTCCTCTGCCTGCCCCCCTGGGGCGTGCCGCCGAGCCGGGCGTCGTTGTGCTCCCTTCCGGGGCGGGGATGTGTCCATCACCACCACCCAGGGGTCGATCTTCAGGGACCCCGGCAGGCGGTGAGTGTGGATGTATTCGGGGCGATCGGGGTAACCAAATATGTCCACATCCACCGCCTGCCGAGGACCCCCGATATGGATTCCCAGCGCGGTTGTGATAGAGAAGTTCTCCGCCTCGAACGCACACACACACACACTCCCATCCACCCACCTACACCCACAACCACACCTACACCCACACCCACACCTCCACCTACACCTACACCTACACCTCCACCTCCACCTCCACCTCCACCTACACACACACATACACACAGAGGGGGTGTTGACGCAGCATCACTCGGGCGCATCTGGACGCTCGGCCAGGCGCTGCCGGAGGGCAGCCCTCCAGTCGGTTTCGGCGCCACCTCCGTTCGACGCGTGCTGGCGCGCGCGGCAGCGTGCACCAAGCTGGTGTGGCACGGCTGGCGTCGCCCCCTCGCTGGGAGGAGACGGGGACGGGGCCGCTGAACGAGACCCTGCAGGGAACGGCCGGGAACGGGGCGGTGCGGAGGAAACCCTCGAAGTGAATTTACAGGGCTTCGCCGATGAAGCACTCGGGAACAGAGTCCAAGCAATAAGCGATGTTGGTTTGACTCCCTTCCCGGTACATACTGTCGGACGATGGAAATGTTTTGCCAAGAGCGGCACAGGGCACAGTCGGAGCAGACGGGAACGCTGCGGCCAGTGATCATGTCGACAGTCAGAGCAGAGCCCAGGATAGGGTCCAGAGCAGCAGGGCACAGGAAATCGCAATTCGGAAGTCACGGCTCAGTGACGATCCGTGAACCGAACCATCGGGCTCAAAGCCATTTGCAAGGGCGAGCTGGGAACTGTCGTGAGCAGGCCGGGCTACAGGAATGGCAGACGTCCAGAGTGCAGGACGCAGCCCAGGTGAGTCAGGAGCCAGGTCATCCAATCACATTGCCGACAACCGGGGCGCAGGACCGCAGGCGGGGCGCAGGACCCCCCGCAGGAGCTGACCGCACACTGCAGGACCGTCTGCCAGCCCAGGGCTGGCCGCCCCCCCCAAAGCAGTCTGCAAGCACACCGCAGGGCCGAGCCGCAACGCCGGGAGGGAGGCTGGCCAAGGATGTGGCCGACAGCCAGACCCAGAGGACATGGGCGCGGGAGGACAGTATATGTTAAGAGAGGTGTTGTTGGCAAAAGCTATGGACCCAGGAGAGATGTCGCGGCAGGAAGGACATCCGACGGAGCCAGCAAGAGTCGCGAACAGGGCAGGCAATGGAAGCTCCCGACACGAGGGATACGTCAATTTGAGAACGGGTAGGACCCTCGCAGCGCAATCATTTTATGAGGGGACATCGCGTGTCTAAGAGGTGTCGCATTCGATTGCGCAGGCCGCTCATACCTACTGGCGAGATCAAGTGGCAGATCCTTGGTGGTGATGAATGAGTCATGTGGTTGTGCGGTGGCCTCGCTCGCCACAACCATCAGTGATAGCGATGTGCCCTTCTGTCGCGCACGCGTGCAACATATTATGCATGTACACAGACATACATCTAAACGCATCTATCAATATACATGCACCTAGATACATATTGTTGCACCAGGAAAATCATGGTGAGGGCATGTCGGGTTCTGTTTTCATTTTGATAGGGACATTCACGGGCCGGTCCGAGGCAATTCGGTAGTTCAACAGTTCGTTTCTTCGAAACATGTAATGGTTCCTCATGGGAGTGCTGATGTGCACTGGTTTCATTCCAACCTGTTTCTCGCTCTCCGTTAGATTAGTCCACTCACGCATGCAAGGGACATTGAGGGTGGCGGCATGCTTTAACGCGGATGGGATTGGAGGCCCAATGAGCAGCGCAGATCCAGAGGGGTTCTGAGGACCCGCAGACTTGTTGTTGGAGGGAGACGCAGGGGGAGCGCATCGGGCTTGCATCGCCCAAAGAAGAGCCCAGTGTCCAACAAGAAGTCAAGGTGAAGTGCAAGGGAGGAGCCGCAGGGCGGAGGCATCACTGGGAAGAGCATTTCGAAGCCGATCCGATTTGCCCGCAGCCTGCTTATGGGAGGTGCCTCGGTGATGCACAGAGGGCCACGTACCTCCAAACTGTTCTTGCACGCAGGGTTTGTCAAGCCGTTTCTGGTGAATTGCCTTCGACAGAGCGGGTTTGGGTATATGTTCGCGGCTCTTACACGGTAAGGACCCACATGGGAGGATCACACACAACAGCGCCTCAAACAATCGAGAAAGACGCGGCATGGTGCCATTCCGAAGGGTCTTACACGATTGGGCCCCACATGACCAAGCTCCGACACGATAGGGTCCCACACGATAGAGTCCACCACGATAGGGCCACCATACGAGATGGTCCCAGATGAGAAGGTCTAACCCGAGAGGGTCCCACCCGATAGTGTAGGGTCCCATTCGATGGGATCCCACACCAGAGCGTCCTACAATATGGTGTCCCACCCCAGACGGCCCCACCCTCTACGATTTCGGGCCCTGGAGTTGCGGGCCGCACACATCCTGTCCAATCACGTGGTTGAGTTTTCACGACGTCGTCAGCGCACGGAGCTTGGCAGCCCCCCTGGAGTTGCGACACGCTTGGGACGCCCTCAGGCTTCCCAGATGAAGTCCGCCCGCGGCAGTGGCTGGAACGCCTGCAACAGGATCTGCGAGGACTGTGCTTGGGGGGAAGCCGGGAGCGCGTTCCTCAGGCTGCCCTCGCGCAGCCTCTGGAGAGGGCGTCCCAGAACGAGTCTCGTCTGCGAGGGATAGAGAGGGTGATTCATCATAATTCGGCGGAAGTCGGCGGAAGGTCGGCGAAGGGATGCTGAAGCGGAACGCGGGGTTGATCCGCCAGCGGAAGCCCACTGGATGGCCGCGTGAGCAAAGCGCGCACCCGCACGGGATGCCGGCAGCTTGAGCTTCGGATTCTCTGGAGCGGCACGGGACAGAGCTCCCGATCGGCATCCTCCGGCCCCGTTCGGCGGTGGGCAGAACCCCCAATAGTGAGTGACACGTCGATCAGTGAATTGTCCGTTTTCGGTTTCGAGAGGGCGCCGTGGCCGTTCTTTTCAAAATTTGCGCCCGCCAGGTTTGGGCCTCAGGTCGTTTTCACTAAACCGCGTTTTACTAAAGGGAGGTCTGTTGTCCATCCCCGACCCGTGGCACATTCGGCGTTGTGCTTGCTCCAGTCTTCGCCAGCCGCGGAGAGGTCCGAATACGGCTCGGTGTGCTTGCGGGGCGTGGGACGGCTCCTGGGGCCCAATTAGGCGACTGGCCTCGCCCCTATCCCTGGCCTCAAGCGGCATGCACGCCGCCACTGGCTTCTCTGCTGAAGCTTTGTTTACCAGCCTCGAACGTATCCCTATCCCTGAGATCGACACGCCAAAAGGCGCTGACAATCTTAGGGATTCGCCCTCAAAAGTAAGGGAATCCCTAGGTTCGGCATCGTGATGAGGAGGTGCCCATCATAGGGATAGGGATATGTTCCAGGCTGGTAATTTGTCCTCCGACTCCCCATGACCACGCGGCAGGTCGACTCGGCAGGGGAAGCCCTGCAGCAGCACTGGCGCGAGAGAGCTCAAGAGTCCGCTGGCGACACATCTTCGGTGGCGGCGGAGGTCCGGATAGGTGTACGTCTGCATGTTCCGCACAGACAGACGTATAACCGAGCATTCTCTTTGGGTGGAGGGCAAAGGGTGAAATCTGAAATGCCGTTCGATTCATTTCCGAATTTCGAATCTGCAAAAGGTGTATCTCACGGCGGATCGATCTTCGAGGTGCAAAAGCGCATATGGATTTCACCCTGAGCCCTCCACCCTAAGAAAATTCACATGTATTAAGACCCCCGAATCATCAGGGCTAACTCGGGTTCGCTTTTCGGGAATCCAAACCCGAGTTACCCCGGACCCGAGTTACCCCGGATAATTCGGGCGTCCAGAGCCCCACATCATCAGGGGTAATTCGGGTCAGGGCTAACTCGGGTTCCTTTTTCCCCGGACCCGAGGTACCCCGGATAACTCGGGCGCCCAAGGTATATGGGCGTTGGCCTGAATGTTTCGCCGATCCTATTCTGCTTGGAATGCCGTGGTCGGCTACGCAGGGGACCGCACCGGTCTGGGCCAGATCTGAGGCCCTGGAGGGGCCCCACATCCTCGCACGCCTCACTCGCCTCTGCGGGCAACGCTTAAGTCGGGCGTGTCCCTCTACAGGACCGGCATCGCTCGGACGTGTGCGTTTTTTTCCTCGGCGAGGACCATCGAGGCGCATCCTTGATCATTTGGCGAAAAACCACGCACGACACCGAAAAAAACACAGGGAATGGACGTCCGAGCGATGGCCAGAGGAGGAGTATTCAGAAATAGTCAAAGGTAGTCTGGAGGACGATTTGTCTCGTATTGTTTTGACTATGCTCTTGTAAACATATTGTTTTTGTTTGTCATTTTCCATTGATCGCCCAAAAACTGCCTGTAGGGGGACATGCCCGACCTAACCCAAATCCTCGCACTCCTCACTCGCATCTGCGGGCAACGCCGGCGTCGAGAGTTTACGCCCGCGCATTGCCCGACCGCAGTTGACAAAGGAAAACGCTCGCAAGGCAAGCACAGACAATCACCACCCACCAAACCACCCCAACCCAACCCGAAGGCCTCAGTTTGCCCTCCATTTAACACATATGGAACCCGTACCCCCCCCCCAAATCCCGAAATTCGGGTCTTTGGGTTGGGTTGGGGTGGTCTGGTAGGTAGTCAGACAAGCATATGCAGGCCGTGATGGGAATGGACGTTGGTGCCTTCGTCGCCAGATCTTTTCTTGACCAAGACAGCAATACTTGGCTGCAGCGAGCCAGGCTGGCAACGAGGCTTGCATCCACTGGTTCTCCCAAAAATCAGTCTTGCTTTTCCTGTCTCTTTGCACCTCATTTGCCATGGCGTCTTCCGTCGCGTTGTTGTTCATAAAAGAAAAATCGTGTCCAGTGCCCACAATATATGTCATCCTGGCAACGCGTCTCAATATCACATGTCTTCAGTGTGAGGGTGTGTCTTCCTTTCTCGACTCGTCTAAAGCGGCGCCCGGAGGAGAAAGAGAAGCAGCGCATCGCCCAAGCCCACAAGCAGGCCGTGGACGAGATCTATGCCAGACCCAGGCGCCAAGGTACCTCCCTCCCCATGGACCCGCCCAGGGAGTACTCGCACGTCTCCGGGCCGTCCCAGGCAGTGCCCCCCTCGAAGCGAGCCGCAGCATTGCAGTCAAGGTTGGTTGAATTGGATTTGCACGCCGCAATGTTTGCGTGCGCGTCGGTGAAACATGGTCTTCTCATGGAATTGCTGGCTCGGTGGAGGGGAGTGGACGGGACAGTCCGAGAGGGAGGGGAGAAACATGGGCTGGGATGATGATGATGATGATGATGATGATGATGATGATGATGATGACGATGATGGTGATGATGATGATGATGATGATGATGATGATGATGATGATGATGATGATGATTATGATTATGATGCGGAGGAGGAGGAGGAAGAGGAGGAGGAGGATGAGGAGCAGGAGGATGGAGGAGCAGGAGGAGGGCGGAGAAGGAGGAGGAGGACCAGTCTAACATCAAGAGTCATCAACGATGTTGGAATTAACCCTCCCTTCAAGCTGCCTCTTCATAGGCCTCCAACGGTTCATTTCCATTGAGGGAACTGCCTCGTTAGAAGACAACCGTTTGGAGATCCTGAAGCATGCCAAGACATTGTTCTCGGGATTTCAACGCCATGTGTCAACCTCACTGCTGCGTCTTGACGATCCGGTATCGTGCCAGAGCGCCACTTTGGGATTAAGCACAGCGAACCAACAAAACTGTTGCACCCGCATAGTCCTGAGTCTTTCCAGAGAGCAATTTCTGGTACGTTGATCATGGGATTCCCGTCAAACTCTTGCAACTTGTAAAAAGAATGTGCGCGGCGCTAAGGCGAGAGCCACATTTTGAAAACGACTCGCCCTCAATCCGTGAAGTTCTTGCGAATTTTGAAAACGAATGCGGGTGGCGCTCAGGCGAGAGTCACATTTTGAAAACGACCCACCCTCAACCCGCGAATTTGTTGCAAATGCTGAAAACGAAGGTGCGCGGCGCTAAGGCGAGAGCCACATTTTTAATACGACCCGCCCTCACTCCTTGTGAACGACATGCAAATTTTGGAAACGAATCCGCGCGGCGCTAAGGCGAGAGCCACATATTGAAAAGGAACCGCCCTAAACCCGTGAAGCTCTTGCAAATGTTGAAAATGAATGTGCGCGGCGCTAAGGCGAGAGCCACATATTAAAAAGGAACTGCCCTAAACCCGTGAATTTCTGGCAAATGTTGAAAACGAATGTGCGCGTCGCTAAGGCAAGAGTCACATTTTGAAAACGACCCGCCTTCCATCTGTGAAACAGTTGTCATTTTTAAGCTTCAGAGTCATAAATGGTGAGGAAGACTCAGGCGAAACGCCCGGCCCGCCCTAAAATCTGGCTTCGGGGTGCGACAGGGAGGAGTTGATCTACAAGGAAAAGGAATGGAGGAGGTTGGGGTGGATGGGGATGTAGAGGAGGGGGCAACTGCACCGCTGGCGAGCAGATTGATTTTCATAGACTGGTTGCTGTCGCTGTCCAATCGGCTCGTCGAGTTTATAGCAATCTGTCGATGGGGTACTTTGACACATGTAGCTACAGGACTGCGTGATTCGCATGACTGCGTGCATGGTCACAGGCTGAAGTAATCAATCGATGCGTGCAGCCTTGACGAAAATAGTTTCGCACAGCAGCGTGCATCATAGGTGAACACAGCTCACGCAATCTCACCTGGTGTCGCCGTTGCAGTACCCAAGAAATCTCATAGCGGCCTGCCTGTCGGTCACCCCATATCGACGCCAAGCACGGCGTTAAAACCTCGGTGCGCCCTATCGGGGCACAAGTCGAGGACATCAGGTCGTCACCGGGACACTGGCAGGACACCCAGGGGCACTATCCGACGACGCAGAGGCATCAGCAGGAACGGGAAGACATCGTTGCGCCGAGCCCTAAGATCCACCCGCAGTCGCTCGCAGCTTCAAAGGCGTCACGCGGTCACGAAGCTCTGGACGCGATTTCCTGGAGGGGTCGGCCTCGTGAGGCTCCGATTGTCACTGCACTCAATGTATCATGTGTGTGAGTGCGTGCGCAATCGTGCGTGTTTGCGTGGGCTCGCCATTTTACGCGCGAATGCACGTGTGTGAGCGTGTGTGTGTGTGTGTGTGTGTGTGTGTGTGTGTGTGTGTGTGTGTGTGTGTGTGTGTGTGTGTGTGTGTGTGTGTGTGTGTGTGTGTGTGTGTGTGTGTTGGTGTGTTTGTGTGCACGCGTGCGTGAGTTTTCGAATTTGTTCCACCGGAGGTACCTTGAGGCTGCTCTTCCGACCTCCTCACAGCCGAGCGATGCCTGGGCTTCCTGCTCCCGAGCGACACCTGGTTTTTTTGTTCCATGCTGCCTGCTCGAGGATCTGCGCCTGCGCTGGTGCGTGCACCGGGCCGTGCTGGCTTCCTGGCGTCCCTCTGGGGGGCCTCGCTGGGGGCCTCGCTGGGGGCCTCGCTGCGGCCGCTCGGAGGTCTCCCGGAGGGCGCCCTGCTGGGCCTCTTGGCGCCTTCCGGGGCCTTCGAGGGCGCCCCCTTTGGGGCCGGCGGCCGTTCTCGGGAGCCCTCTCGGGGGGGGGGAGGCGTCCGAACAGCAGCGTGGCGTCCCCCTTCTGGGCTTCCTGGGCCCCTCGGGGGCCCGCCGCGGAGGCCCTCAGGGGAGTCTCTCGGGCGGGTCTCGGGGCTTCTGGGGTCATCTTTTGGTGCTCCCAGGGCCGAGAGCCAGGGGCGCGGAAATCATCCACTCGCTGGATGTTGTCCGTTCGACGAGTTTCGCCTGTTGGCTGACCAGGGCCTCCAACGCGCCGCAAGAGGCCCACAGCAGAGACTCAGAACGTGCCCCTGGGGTCACCTTCGAGCCCGCTAGCAGTAGGGGTTCAACATCGCGCTCACGAGGCATGTGTTAACGCCATGCGAGAAGCCCTCCAGAGCGACCAGGAATACGGGAAGTTGGGTGCTTGGGCCTTAACACTAATTTCAAGGCTCGATATTGGGGCCCGATGGGGCGCCTAAAGACACTGTGCTCAGTGCCTCGCGGCACGGCGGCAGATGTTGGCGCCATCGATTGTAAAACATGTGCGTATGTGCTCGCCTCAGCCTGCCCATTATCTGGAATACCATGTCTCTGGTTAGATCGCGTTCGAGACACGTTAGAATACGATCTAGTTTGCGTGGCTCACTTGCTGCTGATTCGATGGTGGTGCACACTTCTTTGGGGAAGAACAAGTGTGTCAATGTGTGTGTGTGTGTGTTTGTGTGTTCGTGCGTGCGTGTGTGTGTGTGTGTGTGTGTGTGTGTGTGTGTGTGTGTGTGTTTGTGTGTGTGTGTGTGAGTTGTGTTGTGTGTGTGTTGGTGTGTGCGGCCCCGACTGGTGCGCTCCCAACACATGCCCGGCGCAGCGCCGCCTGATGCGACCTCTCAGTCGTCGAGCGGCGTCCGTGCCGCCCCACCTGGTACTGCAGCTAAGTCACTTGCCCAGCCGTAAAGTGGTTTGAGTGGGCTGACAGTGTTGCGTTCGCACCGCCTGCCGAGGCCTCGCGGTTCTTCTCCCCCATTGGCGCCCCGCGCCCCAAGCAGGCTGCAGCCGGCAGGACCAGGGCGGCGCCGGCTGGCCACGCGCCAGACGAGGTGTGCACCATCCGCCGCGTATGGCAGGATCCGACCGCCAGCACGCACGACGCACCTCCCGCCCCACCATGCACCGCCACCACGGCCTCGCAGGCCGTCGCGGTCTCGCGGACGCCCGAGGCCAGGCGCAAGCAGTAGCTCCAGCCCGCCATCGGACCTCGCCAGGGCGCCGCGGCGGGACTCTACGGAGTCCCATGCTGCCTCCTCACAAGGCCAGTTGCTGGAGACCATTCCTGCCGAAGTCCGCTTCCCGGCACGCTGATCGCCCACCCGCGCGCGGGCGGTCATGCGATTCGGCCAGGCCACACCCAAGGCGTGCCTGCCAGGCATCCCTCCCCTGCTGACCAGGCGCCGCCTCCCCTAGCCTTGGTTCCGCAAGCCCGGGAGTGCCAACCAGCAAGGGTGCCAGCTCCGCAGGAGCCGTCGGCGCACATCGCAGCGCCCCCGAGAACGCGTCAGCCGGCAGCGCGCCCTGCGGCCTGCGCCCCCCCCTTTTGCACCCGCCCCCACTCCTGGGGACCCATGTGTGGCTGCCCCCCGGCTGGATCTCATCGCCGGGCTGGACGCCATGTGAGCCACTGGAGCCCCGGCTGCAGCTCGGGCCGCTCCCGCATGGCGGGATTAGACCCGTGTCCACGAGCCCACAGTGACCGGCTCCTCCCAGACGGACGCTCATGCATAATCTGAAGAGCAACTCTGCACCTGTATCCTGAGCGTCCCTGAGGATTGGGGGCCACAGCCCGCGCCCCTAGCTTAAGCTCGGCCGGGTTGCGCGTATGGCATAGTTGACCCAAGATGGTTCCCTGCACGCACGCTCTGAGCGGCCCCCCGCTCGCGCGCGCCCACCTGTTCGGTGACTTTCTCCGCCTCGACGTTGCGTGCGAGGCCGCCCAAAAGTTGTGTGTGTGTGCGTGTGTGTGTGTATGTGTGTGTGCGTGTATGTGTGTGTGTGTGTTGCGTGTGTGTTGTGTGTTTGTTGTGTGTTGTGTTGTGTGTGCGTTCGTTTCTTCCCCTGCTGTAATCGGGAACGCCGCATCCGCCCACCAACTCGAGTCAGCCGTGCGCCACGCACGCAATGACGGCGGCGTTGGTCAAGGGGGTGGTACGTGGGTGGGGCACGGTCCACTGTGCAGCCATCAAACACCGACGCACACCCGAATGCACCTTTCAAGCCCTGGTGGCGCCGACCGTTGCCAAAGACGCGCGTTACATCACACGAGCACGAACCAGCTCTCACGACACGCCAGGCAGGCGTGCGTGCATGCTGCTGCTGTGGTGTGTTTCCTGCTGTGGCGTGGAAGGTGGTCAGGCAATTCCTGGGGACGTGATGCGGGCGCACCGCACCGCACGTTTCCGCACAAACGCTTTACAGAGTGTGTGGGAGCGCGGGTGGGTGAAAGAGCGTACCTTTTCACTCGCAACTTTTTCGGACCGTCGCGCCTGCACGGGGAAGCTGCGATGAGCCGCAACCCACTGACGTGCCAGCTCTCCTGAGCGAGGCCCAGGGACAGCGCTAAGGATCTCGAGCAGGAGGGGCGACAAACGACAACGACGGATGGGAGGGAAGGATAACGGAGGAGGGAGGGAGGAGAGGGGATGTTCACGTAGGTCTCATCGACCGAAGTCCCGCTCCGCCGGCACGGCGCCCAGCACCACGATACGCTCTGCGCCATGCCCCTCGGGAGCCGAAGGCCCAGGGGGCGGATGTTTTCCCGCGCCGGGGAGTCGCCCGGCCCCTCGGGGACCCCCTGGGGGCCGTCCGGAATAACATAGTCCGAAATATAGTCCTCATTCGCCAGCCTGCGAGGCCCTTCCGGGGCACCCTCTGGCTCGCCGTCGCCGTCGGCCCTTTCCCTCCGCTCCTCTCCCTCCCCTGCTCGGCCGCTTTTCGCGCATGACCGGCGCACTGCTGCCCAGCGGTCGGCCACGTCCGACTTCCCCTGCGGTGCTCAGCACGGTTCTGCACGCGACTGGCCCTGCGCAGTTCACCCACCTGCAACGTCAGGTCTATCGAATCAACTATGTAAGGGTTCCCCGCATCAGGCGGTGCCGCCAACCCGCCGCAGGAGGAAAAGTGCGTTGCTCGTCTTGAGCGCGGTCGACATACTTACCAACCTCGACCTCATCCCTATCCCTGAGATTGTCACGCCGAAAGGCGATGACCATCTTAGAGATCCGCCCTCAAAAAATACGGGAATCCCTAAGATTGGCATCGTGATGAGGAGATGCCCAGCATAGGGATAGGGATCTGTCCCAGGCTGGTAAACATACGTTCGATTGAAACTGTGGTTGACGCGGCCCCTTATCTGGTGACCTGCTGATGCTGTGTCGCCTCGGAGGACGGGCAAAGTTTGTGCGTGCGTGCGTGCGTGTGCGTGTGTGTGTTTAGTTTTTCCTCGCTCTCTGAGCTGAGTCGCACGCCTCCGCCTGACTTGACCTACGCCGCGCCGCCGCGGGCGTGGCCGCGACGCCAACCAAGTGTGCGTGTGTGTGTGTGCGTGTGTGTGTGTGTTTGAGTGTGCTTGTGTGCGCAGAGCCCTCGGTGCATCCTCGTCTGCGCCTTCTCTCTCCTTCTTCTATCTCTTTTTCTGTCTTTCTCTGTCAGTCTCTCTGTCCCTCTCTCGCTCTCTCTTCCTCTCTCTCTCTCTCGGTCTCTCTTTCTTGGTCTCTCTCTGTCTCTTCTTGGGATATGCGGTGCGTAGTTTTCGCGGTGCAACTGGGTGATGCAATATTCTTGGTTGGTGCAATATGTAGTGTGCTATGTATACATATGTGTGTTTGGCTGTACGTGTATATATACAGACACATCTATATACGGCACTGTTACCGTGGTGTTGTTTATGCGGCGCAGTATGTTGGGTCACACTCTGCTGTGCAATCGATGTTGTGCAATCTATGTGGTGCAATCTGTGTCATGCAATCTAGGTGGTGCAATCTACGTCGTGCAATAGAAGCGGTACAATGTAAGTCGTACATGCGATGTTGTGCAATATATGTGGTGCAATCTGGGTTGGGCAATCGAGCGGCGGCGACGGGGCGGCGACGGGGCGGCGGCGGCGACAGCATAGCCGCCAGACCGCCGTTCAGGCCCAGACGTCGGGCGGCGACGAGGAAGCGACGGGGCGGCGACGGCGACAACATAGCCACCAGACCGCCATTCACGCTCAGACATCGGGCGGCGACGAGGCGGCGACGGGGCGGCGACGGCGACCACAAAGCAGCCAGACCACCATTCAGGGCCAGTTCCGTAGGACACAAGTGAGAACCTCTGCGTGAAAGCATTGGTTGATTGATATATATATATATATATATAGACACATGTGTCCATTCTTCTCCCTGCCCTATCTCCTGCTCTTCTTCTGCCGCTACCCTGTTTCATTTCGCTCCGCCACGTGGCGTCCTGGATTCGGCACCTCTTCGGTGGAGCGCGGACCAGCTTGCCTTGTTCTGTCGCCGTACCCAACGCCGACGGCACGAGTCGGATCAAGCCCCGCATCACTTCGTCGCACTTCCTCTGCCCTGTGGCCGATCAGACTTCACGAGTTTACTGCGGTACAGGCCTTGCTGCTGCCTTGTCATGCAAAGGTTTCGCCACTTGGGGGCCTTCGACGCCCTGCTGCTGCCCGCCGTGTGAGGGTCCGGCCAGTTTTGCGGCCTCCGACCGGAGGAGGCTGCAGTCCGACTCGTCCGTGCGCTCAACATAGCTGCACGTCTTGAATTTCTTCGTCTGGCGCCGAACGCAGCTGCCGGTTCGACACACTTGGACTTTGGTTCGCCGGCCTTTCGACGCCCGTGTGGGTTCTTCCCTGGCCGCGTGTGAGCAGAGAGTGTTTGTGTGCGTGAGTGCGTATTTGATGGCTGATGTCAGTAGGCGTTTCGAACCCGAAGTGATATTTGAGAGCCCGGCCGCTACCGCTAAGAAGTGAGTGTGTACGTATACTTGTTTGCGCGCATATGCGTGAGCAGATCTCGCCTTATATCCGCCGCACGCGCTTTGGGGGATAGGGTTGGTGCAGGGGCCTGGGGGGCCAGCGGAGGTGGGCACGGACCCCCCCCGACCCCCCCCGGCAGAGTTCCTGGTTTGATCTTGTCTTGCGATGTGGTTTGTAGCCTGTGCGCACGTGGGGGACGAAGCGGTAGGACCGCTGAGGCGTGAGAGAGAGGGAGTGAAACAGAGGGATAGAGAGAGGTGTCAGCCATGTGTCACATGTTGATTTGTTTGTGTTTGCACCGCGCCGCGCCAGGCAAAGAAGGTGAATGTTGTGCGTAAGTCGGATGTTGACTTCGAGAACAGGGCGTTGGTGCCTGCCTCGGCTTGGCGCCGTTCAGAGCAGGGTGAATCACGCATGTGGCATTGTTGGGCAGGAGCAGAAGTTGTGATGAGGAGGAGGCGGGTGGAAATCTGGCGGCAGGGATGGTGGACGGAGAGCGTGGGCCGATGAAGGAGCGGGGGGGGACGCAGGACGAGGAAGGGGGAAGACGGCCGACGCGCGAAGAACGCTGGACGATGGGCACGTAAGGAGGCACGTTTGCTGTTGCAGAAGCAAGGGCGCCCTCGAGGGCGCGAAGTTATTCGCGCTTCGCGCTTCGCGGTTCGGCTCCGATTCCTCATCATCCTCCTCTTCTCCCCTGGGAGGCGGCGCGAGAGCGCGAAGTTATTCGCACTTCGCGCTTCGCGCAGCGCGAAGCGCGAAGTTGGGAGCCCTTGCAGAAGCGACGAGCAAGGAGAAAGGATGAACGTCAGACAATGGAGACCAGTCGCGGAACGAGGAAGGAAGGAAAATATATAGCAGTTACGAGCGTGGAGGGACTGGGGATGGGGGGGGGCGACATGGGAAAACGGACGAGTCACGCGGCACGATGGACGCTGGAGTGGTGACGAGTGCGATGAGGTGAGCGGCGATGGACGGCGGAGCAGGGATTACGATCTGGAGGCGAGGCTGTGGGAGGAGAGAGCTGCGACGGGAAGGAGAGATGCGAGGAGAAGGGGAGGAACGCGTGGCGGAGAGAGCTCTTCGGCAGCTCCTCGCTCGATGGCACTAGGGATTGTTCCCCAAACAGTGCTTGCACTCGGGAGATCTTGCTCCTGTTTTGAAGGACTTGGCCCGTGCGTCGGTCTGGCGGCTATGTGGCCTCCGTCGCCGCCCCGTCGCCGCCTCGTCGCCGCCATTCGTCGTGGGATCTGCGCGGGTCTGGCGGAGATGTGATCGCTGTTGCCGCCTCTTCGTCGCCCACCATCTGGGCCGGTGCGACGGTCTGGCCGCCATCCGGTGGCCGTCGCCGCCCCGGCGCCGCCTCGTCGCCGCCGCGGTTTGCATTGCGCTGCCCTGCACCGCGTTCCATGGCACAACAGAGCATCGCACAACGAAGCATCGCATAGCAAGGAGTGCACCGCATCGATTGCTTCACGCATATCTGCCCGCGTAGAGTGCACCACATAGATCATACCACTAACATCGTACTACCTGGATCGCACCGCAAATACTGCACCACACTGATTGCATACCACAACTTGTCACATGGATTGCACCACGCTACTAGTAATGAATGTATATGTATGTATTTCTATACATAATGCGTTTATGCGTGCAGAGGCTCACTCTTATCGCACGACGTAGACTATAATTCATCTATTGTATTTCGCTGACTGCATCACAGGTTTTGGACCACATGTATTGCATCGCAGAGGTCGCACTACGTATATTGCACAACGCCATTGCACACCATAGTTTGCTCAGCATAGGCTGCTTCACATATGCTGCGTCACATATGTTGCCCCACGTAGATGGCCAAGCACACATGTTCGCATCCATCAGCATGGATGCATATACACAAAGATGTTGCTAGACACACGCTGTTGGGGGTTCACGTTGGCTAAGAAGAAGTTCTGAAGGGGTATGGAACAGTTTGTTGTACGTGTAGCCTGACGATGCTTTGCACATGTATTGCGTTTCGTATGACGCGTTTGCCAGGCTTATGTTTGCTCACCTTTGATTCGGTATCCTGGTGATTGTTGCTTTGGTTTGCATCACACTTGCCCTGCAGTTCGTCGCTAGCTTGCCTCCAGCATGACATGTAGCCTTCGTATTGGCCTGCTCATGCACTATCCTCTTTCTGGGTGTAACCTGCCTGAGCGCACCTCTAAAGACGAGAGCTAAGCGGGACAGGTGTAGCTTCCTTTTGCAGGCCACTCTCGACGGTCTTGCATTGCGCCAGGAAACACGACGTCTATGAGCTCAGCTCGGAGGTCACTGATTAAATACCGACGCCGATTCTGGTGAGTCCAATCCTGGGCCCGTGATCGGTGCTGGTGTCGGCCAGGCCAGGAAGGCGAACATATCGACCGTGGGCATCGAGTCAAGGGAGGAAAAAACACACCCGGACCGGACAATTGGTGTTTTGCTTGTGTTTTGCTTGGCGTTTACCAAACAGCCCTGCCCGATTTGATCCTTTCCTTGGGTCCGTACGGAACGGCTTCGCGTGGCGGGGTGGCTGTTGCCGGGGTGGAGTTTCTGCCCTCCATCGCGTCCTCGTCTGGGCCCAACAGGGGGGCCCTCCAGGAAGCGCCTCGCCTTCGATGGATGCGGAGGCCTTGCAGTGTCTTCCCGGGCGGGCGTGGGTGAAGGGGCAGCGGAGGCAGCACGGCGGCGGGCCCGCTGGCGGAGGGCGGCGCCAGGCTTCGGTGCAAGCCGGCGGAGGCAGGAGAGGAGGCGCACCCGAGAGGTTTTTCTGTCTGTGTCTCTGGTGCTGCGTCGGGTCTGCGGAAGGAGCCACGGCGAGGCTCCTCATGTTGTGCCTGCCCTCGGGTCCGGCCGGGGCGTGCTCGACGGTCTCTCCGACCCAGCCGCCCTCCCCTCTCAGCAGAGCGCAGGGCGCAGGGCCAGTAGGGCAAGCCTTCGGCAGCCCCTGCCGCATCCTCGCGCTCCCCCTCCCCTCCCTCCTCCTCCTCCTCCTCCTCCTCCTCCTCCTCCTCCTCGTCCTCCTCCTCCTGCCCGCCGGAACCCCTGCCCTCCCCCATCCCCTCCTCGCCCCTCCGCCCCTCGCCCCGCGTCGCCCTTCGGCCTGCCCCTGCCCCCGACCCAGGAGGAGGAGGAGGAGGCGGCGGAGGAGGAGGAGGAGGAGGAGGAGGGAGGAGGGAGGAGGAGGAGGAGGGAGGGAGGGAGGGAGGGAGGGAGGGAGGAGGGAGGGAGGGAGGAGGAGGAGGAGGAGGAGGAGGAGGAGGAGGAGGAGGAGTTTGGCGGCCGAGCGGCCAGGTGCAGAAGCTTCTCCAGATCGACGTGCGGCCCAACCAGCTCGCGCAGGCAGCCTCCGCACGCCTGTCCGAGCACGCCACGCCGCGCAGCCTGAGCACCGTCGCGAAGAGGAGGGAGAACGAGAGGACCCCCGGGGGGCAGGAGGAGCAGGAGGAGGAGGAGGAGGAGGAGGAGGAGGAGCAGGAGGAGGAGGAGGAGGAGGAGGAGGAGGCAGAGGAGGAGGAATCGGCTACACCTAAGAGTGACCTTTCGCCAGGGTGACCGTTCGTGTGGGCACAAAGGGGGCCCCCCGATCGCCGAACGCGAGGCGGCGTCAGCCTCGCGCGCGCTCGTGTTCGGCCCCCCCCTCGCGGCCCTCGGGAAGCCGCGCAGCAGAGGTCACGCTTTCCCAAAGGGCCACCCTTGCGCGCAGTCGAAGGAGGGCCCGCGTCAGGTGGCAGCGATCCAGGCAAGACTCCTGAAGAGGCGCCGCTCCCCTCGTCGGGGGCGGCCAAGAGGGAGGTGATGATTAGGGAGGATCGGATATCATGGCGGGCGACTCGGCTTATGTCATGACGTCCTACGTCCCTGGCGGTGCACATCCCGCCGGCCATGCTTTGCGCCCCCCCCTCTTGGACGCCCCTCCCTGGGCCGCCCCAGACAAGAGGGAGGTGAGGATTAGGGAGGATTGGATATCATGGCGGGCGACTCGGCTTATTTCATTACGTCCTACGTCCCTGGCCATGCACATCCCGCCGGCCATGCTTTGCGCCCCCCCCTCTTGGACGCCCCCCTCTTGGCCGCCCCCGACCTCTGACCCGAGTCGGGAGGCCCATTCGCGGCCGAGGCTTGCCCGGACCAGGGAAGCCCCTGCCGCGCTCGGAGCTCAGGCGACGGGGTTCCATGCCAACGGGGGTCAGTCCGAGCGCCAGATCTTGCAGGATCCTGCAGGGCCGGGGCCGCCTGGACCCGGGCTCGGGTGCAGGATCTTGCAGAATCCTGCAGAGCCTGACTGGCCCGAGTCACTGCAAACAGGGGTCGGTCTGAGCGCCAGATCGTGCAGGATCCGGCAGGGCCGGGGCCGCCTGGACCCTGGCTTGGGCGCAAGATCCTGCAGGATATTGCAGGATCCTGCGAAACCTGACGGACCCGGGTTGCATTGACCCAGGTTTGGGTGCAGGATCCTGCAGGATCTTGCAGGATCCGGCGACAGCTGGACGGACCCGGGTTTGCATCGACGGGGGCCAGTGCGTGCCCGCCGCTCCTTATTCCTCGTTGCTCATGGTAGCACGACGGAGCGCCAGTGCATCGCCGACAGGGGCGGGATGACACAACCCGCCCCAATCCGCCAAGCAACGTTCGAGGAAGAAAAACGCCATAAACATTATGACCTGGCCGGAGGCCGGAAGCTTTGTTTCGCTTCCACGCGCGCGCACGCACCGGCGGGCTAGCAGACGGGTCCGTTGCCAATTTTGGCTCAAGACTCGCACACGCGATCATTTGAATGCATTGTGCCTCACTCTGTACCGATTGTTTCAGCCATGGCGATTGGCTGCGCAGTTGGCCCCTGGGTGAGCCCTGACTTGGATGCAGACTTCGCCAGTCGGGCGGAATGGCACCCAGGGGACGTCATCGAGATTCAATGCCGCGACGATTATAACAATGACCAAGGCAAAGGTTTATTGGTCGTCGCCGGCTCTGGCGGGAAGGCCCGCCTATTCGAGGCCACCATGCTGTCCGCGGAGAACGAATATTACTCATGGTGGATGTTCTCCAAGGGTGGCCACCCCAATCCGGGGTTGTACCGGCACGCTGCCGGGAAAGGTGACGACGAGGAGAAGTTGTTCAAGCGCGCGCCGGTTGTCCCGGTTCGCAAATGGAGGCTGCTGAACACCAACACCCGGGAGCCGGACCTCAGTGCAGTTTCCTGGGTCCCTCGGCGCACGCATGAGAGCTTGCTGGAGAAGATCGCGAACCTTCAGGTGGCCTGCGCTCCCGCTACCCCTCCTGCCGGCGGCCGGACTCCGAGCCGCGAGCCGCCCTTGCCGCCGCCGCTGGAGCCCCCTCCGGACCGCAGGAGCGCCCCGAGGGCCGCGCGCCCGGTCCTCCTCGAGGGACCTGGTGGCGGCGTCGCTGGCGACCTCGACGCTCTCAGGTCCAGCCTTGCAGAGGACCCGGAGGGGCGGCTCCAGCGGCCTCGGCGCGACGGTCACTCCCGCAGCGCGGCTCGCGCGGCAGACCGCGGCCAGCGCGACGGGGACCGGCGGCGGGACCGCAGCCTCGGCCGGCGCGAGAGGACGCAGACGCGGGGACGCAGCCGCGGCAGGCAGCGGCAGGAGCAGGGCAGGAGCAGAGAGGCAAGGGAGGACGCGGACCACGGCAGGAGGTACGGCAACGAGGACAGGAACAACAGGGACACGAGGGAGGACCGCGGGGGCGCAGAGAGGAAGGCCGCCCGCCGCGTCTTCGCCAGCGACCCGCGGGAGTACGAGAGGGCCCGGAAGAAGAGGCGGCGCTCGCGCGAGCCAGAGCGCCGGCGGCGCCGGGACTCTCGCTCCAGGAGTCGCAGGGGCCGCCGCGACAGGAGCCGCTCCTGCTCGTCGTCGCTTTTTCCCGACGCCTCCTCGTCCGGAGGGCGGCCCTCCCAGGACCGCCTAGTGTCTTGGGCCGCGAGGCACCCAGGGCGTCTGGCCACGCAGCTCCTCCAGCTCATGGAGGACACCGTGGGCAGGGACGGGGAGGCGAGGAGCTGGGACAAGGACGACGCGCCGGCGAGCGCCAAGAGCTACTTCATCCACGTGCTGCGCCCCACGACGGAGAAGACCAGCTCCTTACGCAACGTCCGGGAGATGCACACCCTGGCTGTCGTCCTGGACCACCTCGCCCTGGGCCGCACGCAGGCTGCAGCAGACGTTGCGGCGCAGCGTCTGAAAGCGTTGGAGCTCGCGTCGACGACGGGGGATTGGAACAAGGCCCAGTACCTGGAGCTGGTCCCCCAGGAGGGCACCAACCTCGTGAGCAAGAGCGAGGAGTACCTGACCACGAAGGAGGTGGAGCTCCACCAGCGCCTGCACGGCCGGGGCAAAGGCGGCTCCTACGAGAACGACTGGAGCAACTACGCCAGCAGCAGCAGCAAGGGCGGCAAGGACAAGGACAAGGACAAGGGCAAGGGCAAGGACAAGAGCAAAAAGGACAAGGGGGGCAGGGGCAAGGACCGCTGGGGCGCACCCCCGCACCAAGGCTGAGCGAGGGCTTCGCGGAGCTCCTGGGCTTCCTCCCCCGGGCGCTCCGCTCAGCGCCTCCCTGCGGGGAGGCTTCCTGGAGGCGCTGGCTCGACGAGTCAGGCGGGCGCGCGGCGAACACCTACGAGGCGCTCCACGTCTTCGCCGTCGGGGCGGGATTCTCGCCGGGTCGCTTCGGTGAGTTCTCACGGGCCATGGGGGCAGCTCGGTCCGGCTGCGACCGCGGAGAGGGCAACTCCACCGCCCGCGCTTCGGGCGCTCCGCCCACGGCTTCACTTCGCGAGCTGCTTCCTGTGTGCCCGGCCCTCGCAGCGAAGTACTTCGCCGAGCTCGCCCGCGTCGGCGCCGGTGCGACAGCGCCCAGCGGCCGCCCGACGGAGCCCGACGGCGCCCGACGTCCTTCCGACGACGCCGCCGCCGTTACGACAGCGCCCGTGGACCGCCCGACGGCGCCCGGCGGCGCCTGGCGCCCTCCTGACGCCGCCACCGGCGTTACGACAACGTCGTCTTCGCGCGGCCGCCAGGCGCTTGGCCGAGGTCCCGGCGGCTTGCGCCTCTCCTGGGCCTGCTTCGTTGTTGACGCTCTCAACTTCTTGGCATGCGCCGGGTGGTCCAGCGCGCCCACGTGCGCGCGTGCGCCGCCTCTCCTGAGCGCTGCCCAGCGCTGCTCCCTCGATCATATCTGGGGGGCGGTATGCCGCTTCCTGGACATCCCTGCCGCGCCGCACGGTCTGCGGGCTGCCAGGGACGACATGCTCCGCAGGAAGCTCGGGTACCACGGGGAGGTGGTGTCGAGGAGGCGCCAGCTCATCTGTGACAAAGTCCTTCCCTGCTGGCCTGCAGTGGGCGCGGCGTGCTTATTCCCGGTAATCGATTTCGTTTCCGAGGAGTTGCGGGACGACTTAGCCGACCCCACTCGGTGCCTCCTTCCGCGGAGCGCGTGGCCGGCGATCACCCCCAAGTCTCGGGTCCACGCCTCCGACGCTGAGTGGTACTCCCTGGTCAAAGCTGGCCACGCCAGGGGGCTCTTCGAGCAGGTGGCGGAGGAGGACCTCTTCCGGGATGCGGCCGGCGTCCCAGTCCTCAACGGGGCTATGGGGGTCGACAAGCTGAAGGAGGTGAACGGGGCGGTCGTCACGCTCCTTCGGTTCATCTGCGTGTTCTGCCCGGTGAACGCCTTCTTTCGGCCTCTTCGGGGGGATGCCGCTCTGCTCCCTTACCTCGGACAGCTGGGCCTGGTGCTTTTGGACGACGACGAGGTGCTCACGTTGGACTCCGAGGACATGCAGAGCTGCTTCAACTTGTTCCGGATGCCTGCCGCGTGGGCTGGGTACTTCGCCTTCGAGAAGAAGGTGCCCGCTTCGGCCTTCGGCGGGGACCCGGGCGAGATGGTTTACGTCGCCATGCGAGCCGTCCCTATGGGGTGGCTCGGCGCAGTCGACCTCATGCAATGCATGGCTCGCCGGTTCGTCTTCGACCTGTGCGGGGTTTCTCCGTCTACGGAGCTGCTCAAGAACGAGCCTTTGCCCGAGGGCGACATCAGCATCGTCTGCATGGACGGATTCGACTTCCTTCGGCGGGTGCGCGTGGTCCGGGACAACATCCAGAGCCTCGATTTTGAGGGTTCGGCGGAGCACGAACGTTTCGTCCAGGCATGCTCGGCTCTTGGGCTACCATTGAACGCGGGGAAGAGTTTGATTAAGGGGCTCGCCGGGCAGATCCTCGGGGGCGAGCTCGATGGCATCGAGGGCACGTTGGCGGTCGAGCGTTCCAAGGGCCACGTTCTTATCGGGAAGGCGCTCGCTCTGTCGTGTCTTTCTGCCTGGCCTGCCGCCGCGGCCCAGCACTGGGTCGGAGGCTACTGCTTCGCAGCGAACTTCCGGCGCCCAGCCTACGCGGTCCTC